TTAGATGTTTTTCTTTGCATTTAGATGGTGTTTTTGACGTTTATATGGTAGATGTTTTTCTAGATGTTTTTCATTTGGTGTGAATTTATCGAATCTAACCTAAGAAACAGGATGAAAATTGACCTCTTAAATACTATCTTGACAATAAAATTCGGCCTGATGAGAGTAGGAAAAGGCTGCTCCACTTACCAGCTCCCTGATTGGGTATTAAAAGAAATTGGAATAGCTAAAGCATACCAGAGTTATTTTGGATCTGAAGCTTCAACTTCATCATCCAAGCTAGGTTTATCCTGTGGATCTTGTAAGGCAGACTTCATTAAAGACGAGGACATGATTCTATAGGGTAAGTCATATCAATTGCTCTGTAATTTGTGACTCTTTCCATTTGGATGTTTTTCTAGATTTTTTTCCCACGCAAATTCAGATGTTTTTAGATATTTTTTAAATTCCGTTTTGGATGTTTTCTGTCAAAGAAAAGTGGCAACACTAGTTGCGACCAGCTTCCATCCGTGTGTGTGAACCTTTTTCCTTCGTGGGCTTAACGACGGGGCTAGTCGAGCTTAAACTACGCTTGTGTTGTAGCGGTAAGTGTGATTAGATATCAAAGATAGGAAACTGCTTTTACTTCTTGATGTCTTTCCTCTTCTACTCTCAGATAGGGGATAGTAATACTAATATGTGTTATTTTGTTATTGTTCTTATTATTAATAATTATCATAACTTTTTCCTGGTCGTATGTAACTAAACACAAAAGCCACACTATTTTTTTTTTTTTTTTTACTAAACTCATTTATTTGTTTCGGCTCTACTGTAAAAGATACTTTGTTTTTGATACCATTTTTTAGACACTGTCGTGAGTTCAAGCGTCTTTTTAAAGTCTCTTTATAATCAGTACTGTTAGCTTCTGTGGCTCAAGCGTTGCGAACGCGTTTCATAATGCTTGGGTGCCGGGTTTGATACCAGCTGCGGACGGTTTGTTTTACATTGGTTTCGACAGTGGTACCGAGAGCTGACAGTCCAGGTAGCAATGGCAAACTAATAAACGTAAAATTTACCTAGAAAAACTACAACAGCTAAAAAATGCTTGGGTTGGTTCTGCAACGTCCTGTAAAGGATACGCAACTAACAATGGTGAGTACTGGCGCCTTTTTTAAAAGCAATTTGTGGTGTATTCCGGAGCCCCTTTCAGACACTTTATGGTAAGTACTAGCTGACCTTTGCTCCTGGGTCGACCCACTCTTAAATGGGTACACTGTGAGGTCCTAGGAAGTAAAGACGGCCGGCGTGATGCTGACCAAATCACCCTTCGAGGGATGACTGGACTGTGAGAATTTGAGTCTATCACCTTATGCTCGACTTTTACAACATGCTTCTGTGAGGCAGTGCGTCTAGTCCCCCCCCCCCCCTTTTTTTTTTTTCAAAATGGGGCCGGAAACCACACTAGGAGCAAGTAAATTCTGTCACAGGTTGGTCAGCTGGCATAGTCAGGATCAGCGCGCTGTCACAGGTTTGTCAGCTGGCATAGTCAGGATCAGCGCGCTGTCATAGGTTGGTCAGCTGGCATAGTCAGTATCAGCGCGCTGTCATAGGTTTGTCAGTTGGCATAGTCAGGATCAGCGCGCTGTCACAGGTTGGTCAGCTGGCATAGTCGGGATCAGCGCGCTGTCACAGGTTGGTCAGCTGGCATAGTCAGGATCAGCGCGCTGTCATAGGTTGGTCAGTTGGTATAGTCAGGATCAGCGCGCTGTCACGGGTTGGTCAGCTGGCATAGTCAGGATCAGCGCTCTGTCATAGGTTGGTCAGCTGGCATAGTCAGGATCAGTGCGCTGTCACAAAGAAAAATGAGGGCGGGTGGTTCAACAATACCCACCCCCGCCCCCTTTTATTTAAGGGAGAGAAGAAGCGGCTCAAGCCTTGCTTAACTGCTTGTTATAATTATAACAAATTGTTATTACTGCGCAACTGAACAAGGTTTAACCCCCCCCCCCCGGCACTAAAATTATAAGATGGGGAGCTGCAAGACACTTAAGCCTTGTCTAACTGTGCAGTAATAAGACTAGTTGTTACCATTAGTATCATTGTTATGCGCCAAGTAGCAACTAAAATAAACATATATTTGAAAAAAAAAATTGTATGTATATAAAACGTTTTAAAAAAAGCTTTGATCTTGAGAGGAAACGGCGGGGGGGGGGGGGGTGTGTGTGTGGTCTGCTCTCACAAAATAAATTAATGGCGGACGGCCATGGAATCTCATGGACTTAAAAATTTTTCAGTTCTATAACTGTTGTAAATGTTCTTGTTATTATTATAAATGGAAAGATAAAAATAAATAATGTATTTGAAAAAAATAGTTCATGTATAAACAAATCAAAATCCTTTCTTGAATTTAAAGAAAACGAAAATAATGTCCACAGATAAAACTGGCTGTCACCCAAAAATAACAATAAATGATGAAGAAATTGAAAATGTCACAAACTTTGAATATCTAGGCTCTATAATAAACAACAACGGAGACTGTTCGACAGAAATTAAAAGGAGGATGGCCATAGCAATGCAAAGATTGAACAGCCTTAAAAGTCTATGGTTAAACACCAACAAGGATATAAAAATTAGAATTTTGAGAGCTTGCATCTTCCCTGTGGCTACATACGGATGTGAGTCGTGAACTATCTCTCAGTCCTTAAGAAAGAGAATAGGGGCTTTTGAGCTGAAATGCTATAGAAAGATTCTCAGAATATCTTGGACAAAGAAGAGGAGAAATATTGACATCTTAAAAGATCTGAACATCAAGGAAGATTGGCTAATAAACAGCATCCTTTCTCGGAAGCTTAAATATTTTGGTCACATCAAGCGCCACAACGGTTTGGAAAAAATTATAGCAGAAGGCATGGTACCAGGAAGGAGGGGCAGGGGCCGACCGACACTAAGATGGGCACAGGATATAAGTGACTCCTTGAGTATGAAAGTACATGAGGCCGGAGAACTGGCGAGAGACCGAGTTTCTTACAGGCAGACTGTGATGAGAGCGACGTTCTGCAAAGGACCTGCTACATGATGATGATGATGTATAAACAAATACTTAACAGAGAACGTTTATGTATGGTGTTGAGAAGAGGCGGGGTGACACTCTGCTTCCAAACATTATTGGGGAAAGAGGGATAGGCAGGTGAAACAAACAAATGCGAACGAAATAAAAGCTTATAAAAAAAATACACCGTATCCCGTTTTATTTGGAAGTTGGGGAAAAAGATTTGGGGCGGGGGGGGGGGGGGGGGGGGGGAGTTGTATACATTTTCACAAATCTGAGATCGGTTAGGCGTCAGTACAGCGTTGGCAAGAATCCTGGTATATATTTCCAGGCCCGACTGATTTTAACAGACCGACATTCAAACCCTACACTAAATAAAAAATATTTCTGTAGAAGCAGCAAATAGAAAACAATGCCGCTCAGAGAAACTGGGAACGGAACTTTCGTTTCGCAACCTGGATTTCATATTTTACTTTCTCCAGCTGCCATGTGTAATTCATGAGAGGTTTCCCCAAACTGATAAATGATAACACGACATGCAGGGACAAAGGCTGGGGACCTGCCGCTCAGACCGCCTCTCTCCCCCTCCCCTCCCTTTTTTGCCTCCCATTTTTTCCCCTTGGGGTTAGGGTGGGCCGCTGTAATCATTTTGCAAGGAGGATAAACCGTGCCCAGTAATCATGTTAGCTAGTCAGTCAGTCGGTCGGTCGGTCGGTTGGTCAGTTGGTCGGTCAGTTGGTCGGTCGGTCGGTTGGTCAGTCAGTTGGTCGGTCAGTTGGTCGGTCAGTTGGTCGGACAGTTGGTCGGTCGGTTGGTCGGTCAGTCAGTTGGTCGATCAGTTGGCCAGTCAGTTGGTCGGTCAGTCAGTCAGTTGGTCAGTCAGTTGGTCGGTCGGTCAGTCAGGTGGTCGGTTAGTTGGTCGGTCAGTCGGTCAGTCAGTTGGTCGGTCAGTCGGTCAGTCAGTCAGTCAGTCAGTTGGTCAGTCAGTTGGTCGGTCAGTCAGTTGGTCGGTTAGTTGGTCGGTCAGTCAGTTGGTCGGTCGGTTGGTCAGTCGGTCGGTCGGTCAGTTAGTCGGTCAGTCAGTAGATCGGTCGGTCGGTCGGTCGGTCAGTCGGTCGGTCGGTCGGTCAGTTAGTCGGTCAGTCAGTTGATCGGTCGGTCGGTCGGTCGGTCAGTTAGTCGGTCGGTCAGTTAGTCGGTCGGTCGGTCAGTCAGTCGGTCGGTCGGTCGGTCAGTTAGTCGGTCGGTCAGTTAGTCGGTCGGTCGGTCAGTTAGTCGGTCAGTCGGTCGGTCGGTCGGTCGGTCAGTTAGTCAGTCGGTCGGTCGGTCAGTCAGTCAGCTAGTTAGTTAGTTAAACAGCTAGTTAGTTAATTATGTCTATAAAATATAAGTCTAGCCCTGAAAGGCGCGAGACAGGGTCCTTCACCGATCTTTCTTTCTGCAGGGTTGCGATCTCTTCGTTGAGCAGAATGGTCAGGTCTTTCCTCTGCAATCTCTTTTGTATTAGCTCTGAGATTCCATCTTTAGTCTTTATCCCCCAACGTGTGGCGACTGATAATACCAATTCTGTTTTGGTTTACTATTCTTCTTTGGCTACCTGTATAGTGTTCATGAAATTGTTCAAATGGCACACAAGAATACCTTAGGGTTCATCCAATCAATTGACTGTTCTTCTGCATCCGGGTCGTAGATAGTTTTAGGCGTACGGTCTTTCCCATCAACTAATTTTTAAAAAACGCGCCATTGAATAACTATGCAGTTTTGGTGTTGTTGATGTTTACAGGAAAATCGCCATGGGATAACGGCTTTCTTTCTGTTCTTTCTTTTGAAAGGAGAGCGTCATTGTGTAACTGCGATTTGGAACAGACACGTTGCAGTATAATGTTTTGTTTTCTGCCTCCATAGCTCCTCCACAAAGTTGTGTTCAACATATACGCTGTCAGCATTTCTCTTTGGGATTTGTTCACCAGCCATGATCTGGGTCATCGTGTTGTTGTTGCTCGTCCTTCTGTACCTCCTGGTGGACAGACTGCTTCGTGTCTTCAAGATCGGCAACCACAGCAACAAATATGTCTTTGTCACCGGATGCGACAGCGGCTTCGGGAGAGAGCTGGTTTTGTAAGTGTTTCATGGAGCAGCCTTCATTCATTCATTCATTCATTCATTCATTCATTCATTCATTCATTTATTCATTCACTCTTATCTTAGTCTCCTCATCTACTCAGAGGGGATGCATGCCTGTAATGGCTGCAGTCGCCACTTGCATTTTACATTGCCGAAGAAAAATGCATTATTTTACAATTTATACCTCGCTCGTTCTACATCTTTACATATCAAAAACAATGCAAGCTGTATGCTTACCGCATTGTAGCGGAAACTGTAAAGTGTTAAAGCTACCATTTACTGGTACTAAGATGCCAGCTGTGCACGCATATTGTAAATAGAGAAGCGGCGAGGAGGAAAATATCGTATGATACCCTCTCCATTGTAATCGTTACCTGCTAAGGCTTACACCTGCGAATTTATCACGCCTCGCCACTACGTGTAATTATTTATCGATTTTTTTTTCTTTCATAGTTTGTATCTGTGGACAAAGTTCACCAGGAGGAGGGGAGGAAGAGGAGAGTCATTAGAAGAAGAAGAAGAAGAAAAAGAAGTGACGATGATCGATCGATTATCTGACTAACAAAAAATGACAGTTTTTCCCGCCTTCAGGCGTATTGGGCATATAGGGCTAGACCTACATTTCATAGACCAATCGGCACTCAGTGGGTGATGTGGTCAGCAAGTTGTTTTTATCTGTTCGGATTTGAACTAATGACCTTGGGATCCCCAGGTTAGTGTCTGGCCGCTTCACCACAGTGGCTGTAACGTATGGTCCAGGTTGAGATAATAGTTCTCTGTCGTTTCCAGACGTCTGGACAAACTGGGGTTTCCCGTGTTTGCTGCCTGTTATACAGACGAAGGGAGACAGACTCTGACCCAGGTTTGCTCCAGCCGTGTGCAAGTCATACCGTTTGACGTCACCAAAGAGGAATCTATACAGGCCGCACTTGATACTGTCAGGCAGAAGCTGCCCAGCGAGACAAGTGGGTAGATTATCCGTTTGTGTCTCTGTTCAACTCATTCCTTTTAGTCCTAAAATCAGCATTACTCAGCAGCAGATCCTTAGTTGCAAAACGCTCTTGTCACGATCTGTCCAAAAAAAAAAAAAAACTCGGTCTTGCACAGCTTCCAGCGCATGCGTACAACAGCTAAACACTCTGTTCTACCTGTTTTGCGCATGCGTACAACAGCTAAACACTTCCGGTCAAAATGGACGCCAGCAGTCACTGTTTGGCGTCGAGGCAAAATTTTTTTTTTGCTTCTGCCAGGCGGTAGCCGTTGCATTTTTGATCCATTTATAGACTGAAAGGATATAGTTTCGTCGAGCCAGCTATCGAGTTGAGTGCATGGCGCAACCCTGTGAGCTGCGGATTTCACTTGGAATGTTTTTCGACTGTGACCAAGGTGGTGTTGTGAACTGTAGATTCGGAAAATGGCGCGTGGACGGTCGCCGCAATATTGGTGGTGCCCTTATGTGATTAATATTGATAACGTGTGCAACTGCTGATCTTTTATTAACTTCTGCTACCGTCGATGATGAACTGCATTTCTAATGTCAAACTGTTTGTGTTAGCACGTTGGATGGCTACTGTATGCAGTTAATATGTGTGTATGCTAGTGCATATGCTGAGACAACATGCTGTCAATATTTCCACAAAGGACTGAGATAAACATTCTGTGTGTTTTTCTTTGGCACAGGAGCGGAGCAACTATGGGGTGACTCGTTTGCTATGAAGCTGAAACTAAGATTACTAAGATTACAAAGACTCTGTTCTACCTGTTTTACGCATGCGTACAACAGCTAAACACCCTGTTCTACCTGTTTTCCGCATGCGCATAAGAAGCTGCGGTTCCGCAGGTACCCAGTGTCAGTCCACGAGTCGCCACCTGATTAAAGGCGCAGATATCGCAGTCTAGCTGTAAACATCAACACAACGTGCCAACCATCTTTTTAAGGGCAAACGCAAGGGGGGGGGGGGAGAGAGAGAGAGAATTCTGTTTAGTTTTATTCTTTCATATTCTTTGAAACTAATCACACATTGCACACTATACATCCCAATCACACATTATACACCATGCCTCACACATCATATCTCATATATCACACTTTACTTATCTCATGTAACAACGATACGTCACACATATACATATAACACATAACATATTACACAACATATTCATACATCGCACATTATGCATCACACAACACGCATCACAAATCATGCAGCACATGTCATACATCACGATCACACATAACACATCACACAACATTCATCATACATCCACATCATACATCACACACCACATCAAACATCAAGTACCGCTTGGTCTATAACAGAAACCAAGCACCAGATTCGCGGTGCTCTATAAGACGTGGAAACAATCCTTGTACCCTTAACCATACACATACTAAACATGACTTTCCCTCCCAGGTCGACTTGAATGGGTACCCGGTAAAGTCCTGGGACATGAAGCTGGCCGGCATGATGTTGAAGATATCATCCATCGATTGGTCTATACTAAAACAATGAGTCTAGCCTTGTATGCAGGATGTGCCAAAGGATAAGGGACCTTTATGTTTATGTACACAGTAGGTCTCAGGACAGATGTGTCAGCTGATTATCGTATGAGGTGACACGCTCCCTACATCCTTCTCCTCTTCCTCTTCCTTCCTCTTCTTATTTTCTTCTTCTTTTTTTCTTTCTTCTTCTTCTTTTGCTTCTCAGAGGGTCTCCATGGCAAAGTGGCCAAGCCCAACACTCAGAAGGTCGTGGGTTCGTTTCACGATCGCGTCGTTACTTTCACATGTGCAGTTTAATCGACTGTCTCTTGCGATCGTCGCCAGTGCTACTGTGTTCGTGCTTTATGGGACACTCTCGGCAGGCAGCTAGTCGTTCTGCAGGGAGGAGACTGAGCCGTATGGGTATAATCCCGGTTCATTGAAGTCGATCCTCTCGACTTTGAGCTTTAACCTTTCTCTTATTATTACAAATTCGGCTGCTGTTGCTGCTGCTACAACTACAACTGCTGCTGCTGCTGCTACTACTATTACTACTACTACTACTACTACTACTACTACTACTACTACTACTACTACTACTACTACTACTACTACTACTACTACTGCTGCTGCTGCTACTGCTGCTGCTGCTGCTGCTACTACTACGACTGTTTTGTTATTATTAATATTCTCTTCTTATTCGCCAAAATCCTAATTTTAATTAGCAGTTCTGTCATAATTGTGTTTTCCCTCTAAGGTCTTTGGGCTGTAGTAAACAACGCTGGAGTTATCGGTCAGGTGGTGGCAGCAGAAATCTGCAACAAGAAGGAATACCAGTTCTGCTCCGACGTGAACCTGTTCGGCCCCATAGAGGTATCCAGGGCGTTCCTACCACTGCTGAGGAAGTCGAAGGGCCGGCTGATCAACCTGACCAGCTGTATGGGCCGCTGTGCTGCCGAAGCGGGCCCTTACTGCGTGTCCAAGTTTGGACTGGAGGCTTTCAGCGACGTCCTTCGGCGTGAAGTGGCCCAGTTCGGCATCAAAGTATGCCTGGTGGAGCCCGGGTACACAGAGACCGCATTGTTCCACGTCGATGAACTTCACAAGGGAATCCGAGAAGCCTTCCAAAGATCAGACCCGGAGATTCAAGAGGCATACGGGAAGAACTACCCAGACTATGTGATCGCGGTCCTCACTGCCAAACTGGAAAGATGCTCTTCGCGCATTGAGAAAGTCGTGGACGCCTTACTGGGAGCAATCGTCTGCAAGTATCCAAGACCAAGAACTGTTGTTGGGTATGACGCCAAGTTCTTATTCATCCCCCTGACCTTTCTGCCGGAGTGGGTTGGGGACACGGTGCTGCTAGCTTACGAGAAGCGAATGGCCAAAGAAAAGGGCTTTTAAATTCCAGCAGACAAAATTGTTGGGTTAATGACCAATGATATACTAAATTCATTTTTCCTAACACCCTGTAATGACCTGGAGAAAATATCCAAAGGACGTTTACTACTCGGAACCTCTGAAGCGATGCTTGCCACTCTGCACGGAGCATGTATGCCTTAAATATAAAAATACAAAGTCCAATTGATCTGATCGCCAGAATTGAAAAGACCTAGTCAACCAATCAAATGTAAATCGACGACTAAACAACACAGTTTTGAAACTTCATAGATCAATATGTGTGTGTGTGTGTGTGTGTGTGTGTATGTGTGTGTGTGTGTGTGTGACTATAATTTACAGTGACGATAGAATTATAGTAAAATACGATATAGTACAAGTATCATACGCATATATAATACGATGTAGGTAACCTACTTTGTAAAGCTGCTTGTAAAATCGACCTAACCAACTAACTCAGTGGTTCTCAACCTTCCTAACGCCGCGACCCTTTAATACAGTCCTCTCATGTTGTGGCGACTCCCAGACAATTCTTCTTCTTCATAACTGGGAGTCGCCGCGGATCGGAATGTCGTGGGTTCACTCCCTGGCGGAGCCGGACTTTTTTCAAAAATGACCTTGGCTCCAGGTGACCCGGCCTTGAGTAGGAACCGGAAGGCGACCGGCATGATGCAGACAATAACACCCATTAATCTATAAAATATAGGTCTAGCCCTATATGCCCTATACATCGAAAGGCGGGGAAAAGGGTCCTTTACTTTACTTACTATAACTTCAATGTGTATGTGTTTTCAGATGATCTTGGGCGACCCCTGTGAAAGGGTCGTTCGACCCACACAAAAGAGATTCGCGATCAGCAGGTTGAGAACCACTGAGCTAACTGAATGATATTTTTCTTCAACTAATTACGTAACAAGCGTTTCATTATGCCTCGCGCCATGACTGTTGAAAAACATTCAGCTTTCTAAACTGGATATTTCATTATGCAGACCATGATGACGGCAACAAAATTTAAAACTTTTTAAATATTTATATGCTAGTATAATGTTAATGGCCTAATTCTCAACTTTAATAACTAACTTTCTGAATGATTTATATACTAGACATTTCAGTTCGCTTTTGACGGCCAAATTCTGAACTTTGTGATCTAACTTTCTGAATTATTTACATACTAGAAATTTCAGTATAACTTTGACAACCAAATTCTTAAATTTCTTGTCTATTCAAGTACTAGACATTTCATTAGACTGTGCCATGACAAATTTGTTTGTTGAGTTTGTTGAACAGACGTATTATTATGAATAATCATTTAAATATATTCTAAAGACGAGTTCGGTGTTGGTTGCTGCAAGAAATGTGTTTCTTTGATTTGTTTAACAATCGTCGTCGCTATTGTTATTGTTGTTTTTGTTGCTGTGTTTTTTAGTTGATTGGGTGACTGTTGATGAATTTAGTAATCAAATAATTGATTGACTTTTTGTTTGCTTCGTCGATGGTGGGAATTTTTTTCGTAGCTCCGTGGTCGATTCATTACTGATTGTTGTTTAGTTGAATCATCGATCGATTAAATCGATTAGTTGCCTCACTAGTTAACAAATTTATTGACACATTCATCTACAGCTTTTCCTCTAGCAGGTTCACGTTAAAAAACAGGTAGTTTTGCAAGCCTTTTTACTATGAATATAAAATTACATTGTTTCCTGTTTGGTTTTGAGATCATATCTGGGGAAAGTGGAAGGGAGGAGAAACAGACCCCCCCCCCCCCCCCACTCGCTCCTCAACAAACATGTCGTAAAAGGCAACTAATTATGGGTCCGCTGACATCAGATGTATTGTCTTAAAATGTGCTTCACAGCCTGGCTGTAAACCACAACACCGTGAGCCAACCACCATTTCAAGGGCACGGGCAGGAAGAGTCTGGGGAAAGAAAGGCGAGGAGCAAGAGAGCTGGTAACCCTCACCTCATAAGTCGTTTGTGTACACACGCACAGGCCGCAACGCGGGGACTACATTTAGAGCAAATCTAACAAAACGCGTTGCCATAACTTAGCCCTGACTGGTAAGAGGGGCTTTCATAGAAATAGGGAATTTGTGGAGGTCAACAGAAATTAAAAGAAATACTAAACTTAGAATTGTTAATTCTAGTGTCAAATTGGTACTTTTTTATGGATCGGAAACATGGAGAATAACTAAGGCAATTACTGATAAACTTAGTTAGTTAGTTAGCTGGGTTATCCTCATTGCACTCCGGACATGTCCATAGGTGCTCAGATCCTCCCCTCAGTATAAACCCCAACGTCCGATGGCTAATAGTACCAGTTCTATGTTGATTAACAAATCTTCTGGCGTAGCTGGTGTGCGTCTCGTTTTTTGCTGTGCCGATCTTAATTCCCAAGTCTGATAAACTACAAACATTCATTAACTGGTGCCTGCGCAGAATAGAGGGAATTCAATGGTATGATAGAATCACTGATGTAGAGCTTTGGGAGAGAACTAAACAAGTTCCAGAGGACCAAGAGGTGAAGAAAAGACGCTGGCGCTAGATACACATTGAGAAAATCGGAGAACAGTAGAGAATCTCTTTGCCCTGGAACCCACAGGGATATAGGAATAAAGGAAGGCCAAAAAACACACGGAGAAGGGAACTGGAGAATGAAGTTAGAAAAATGGGGAGGGCATGGAAAGAGCTGCATGCGATAGCCAAAAAAAAAAAAAAACGAGTTGGCGTGAGTTGGGTGAGGGCCTATGCTCCAGTAGGAGCTAGAAAGACAGAAGACGAAGAAAAAGACATTCCCTTTGTTTTATCGTGAGTCCGTAAAGTCATGGTGCACTTTTGACCGGTCAAAGAAAATCAATGAAACAAGATAGAAATGTGAGTTAGTTCCACGATGGTCCGACTGACTGACTGACTTTCTACCCCACAAGGACATCACACAAGCGATAAACACCCGATAACACAATGTGACATCACACAAGCGATAAACACCCGATGACACAATGTGCCACCATGCGAGTGAGGATCACCGTGGAGTGGTCCCAGAAACCGCTTTCAGCCTTTAGGCCATATTTATGGCCAGGCTATATTGCTGCCCCTGGCAAGAGCCAGAGTAGAGCTTCAAATAACGAAAAATGTTATCGTAAAAAATACGGAAAGTATCAATATCAATAAACACGATGGTCCCCCCCCCCACCCCCCCCCCCAGAGACCGCCTATATACACACTATCTCACTTCTGATTGGCCGACCTTGACTCACCCGAATTTAGCACAAGGGGACGGGGTGTTCCCTAATTTCGCTGATTTCGCGTGTTCTATATTTTAGCATGTCAGCGCTTTCAACACTACAAAAACATGCAGAAACTGGGTCTAACACACAACCCCCCTAGAGAGTGCTGAAATCTATGTCACAGGCATTCTCTTTCTCGGAAGAAAAACGTAAATGCAACAAGCCAGAAAGCAAACAACAGAGCGACACACCCGTAACTCTCACGAAAGTAGATGTCCAAAAAAGTTAGGAATGGAACGTGACCTACTTTACTGGGGAGACTAACATCGAACTAAATGAAATGTGAAATTGTCACCAAATGAAAGGAAAACTCTCCGTTTCGAAACTATTCAGTGCAGTTCAGTGTGGCTTCAATGTGTTGCCCTACACACATCTAAACGATATTCAGGTTCTTTCCACACACGGTTAGGGACGTCTGATGCAAGAGAGTGAATACCGTCTTTGTTTCTCTGTTTTAAATGACTAATGTCGTCGATACGTTCACTGTACACATGTTGCTTTACATAAACCCACAAGTAAAAGTCTAAGGCCGTCAGATCTGGGGACTTTGGTGGCCATAGCTTGGCGGAACTCCTGCCTATCCACAGCTGGGCGCAAAGTTTTATCCATGTGACCGGTCCAAAGTGCACCACGACTTTACGGTCACAGTGTTTATAATAACAACATCATTCTAACATGGATTACAGGGTCCAAGTCATTTTGAGAGAAAAAAAAAGAAAAGCTCGACCACGTTCTGACTGCTGCTAGCTAGCCTAGGCTGCTAGCAGTCTCCGCCTATATTTGTGGTCTGGGTTATTTGCGTCACTTTCGTGACTGAATTTTAGTGTTTGTGCCATTTCTGGGCTTAATGCTTCCATCCGAATCAAACCGCTCGTCCTGTTGTCACTGGTGCATGTCTTTCTTCTTCTTTCTTGGTGTTTCCTGTTTGTTTTGTCTCCATGTGATCTGGCTAGGTGTATCTCGAAGGAGAGCGAGCTTCCAAACACAACGACCTTTCGGCCACCATTTATTGTTTTAAAATTTTGAGTATTTTAATTTTGCCAAAAAGTACTGAAAACAGTTTTTGAATTTGAATAGTTCAGAAATGTGAAAATTTCCGCGTGTGACCATAGTGGTCTTATAGTTGTCTTCCTGTAATATGAACGGGTTAGTCATGTAATGGATATGTGTGTGAGAGTTTATGTGGAGTCTTAAGCGGGTCCAGTCGTCATTTGTTATTATGTGATCGGGTTGTGTTGACAGCTAAGCTCCGGTGTACGTAAATACCATACAGGGATTAGGCCTAACCAATTCTACATTTTCTAACAAATAGGAGAAACGAACTATTAAAAAAAGGCTGATCAATAATTGAGTTATGATAGTCTGAGTATTTTACTTATATAAATCGGAAATAAACAGTTGCCATGCCAATTGAAAATAAAAACATTGATTACAATTACTTTCAGTTGGAACTTTGCAACAAGACTTGCATTATTATGTGCAGAAATGAATACACTTCCATGTAGTTTAAACAAGGTAAATTCCACAATTTAAAAAAAAATTCACTGGGGGGGGGGGGCAGGGGAGCTTTTTAACCTGTCATTAACGCACTTTTACTGAGTGAAGCTGAATCCCACTACGACCGCATCCTAAACGATTCACACCTGGTGACCCGAAGAGTCACTATTTGGATCAGAATCCCACAAACCAGTTCAAAAGTAAGGTTCTACCGGACACCCTACCCACTGCTAAGTAACTTGAAGTCCCGCCAGGATAGGGCTGCAAACCTTTTTATGCTCACTTTTATTAAATAAGAGAAGGAGATTACTTCTCGCGCATAGGAAGATGTAATATTACCACACAAATTTGAAGATGTAATTGAATCACAGAAACAGTAACATGTAATTGTATCACACAAACAAGAAGCTGTCATAATATTTCACAGATATGAAGATGTAATTGTATCACTTGAACAGGAAGATAAAATGTTATCCCACAAACAAGAAGGTGTAATCTTATCTCACAAACAAGAAAATGCAATCTTATCATACAAACAAGAAGATGTAACTGTATCACTCGAACAGGAAGATGTAATCTCATCCCACAAACAAGAAGATGTAATTCTATCACTCGTACAAGAAGATGTAATGTTATCACACAAACAAGAAGATGTAATCTTATCCCACAAACAAGAAGATGTTATCCTATCACTCGAACAGGAAGATGTAATCTTATCCCACCAACAAGAAGATGTAATTCTATCACTCGTACAAGAAGATGTAATGTTATCACACAAACAAGAAGATGTAATCTTATCCCACAAACAAGAAGATGTAATCTTATCCCACAAACAAGAAGATGAAATCTTATCCCACAAACAAGAAGATGTAATCTTATCCCACAAACAAGAAGATGTAATCTTATCCCGCAAACAGGAAGATGTTATCTTATCCCACAAACAAGATATCATCTTATCACACAAACAGGAAGAGTTCATCTTAACCCACAAACGAACACAAGACGCACGAACGAACACACAACTCACCTGTCTCCCAAACTGTCGTTGCTCCAGGTGAAAGATTGGTTGCTGCCCCCAGACCTGACCATGCAGACCATGGCGATACTGAGGTTGACCCGCTGCAGGTAGAGAACGGCGAATCCCCAGAAGGTCACTATTGCTGTCAGAAACCTCTGCGATGTCCAGAATGGAACTGCAATTGACGAAACAAAATAAGCTGGTTCCGTCTCGAACAATTTGGATGAAACAAACTAGTCTGGTCTAAATAAGCTGGTTTGGTCAAAATAAGCTGGTCTGGTCTAAAAAAAAAAAAAAGCGCAGGGCTGGTCCTGTCTAAAAACAATTTGGATTAAACGAACTGGTCAGGTCTAAATAAGGTGATCTTGTCTAAATAAATTGGTCTGGGTCTAAATAAGCTGCTCTTACCTAAATAAGCTAGTAAGGTCTTAACCTGGTCTTGTCTAAATAAGTTGGTCAGGTCTAAATGCAATTCTTTGGCTGAATAAAAACGGGTCTAAAGAACTCAGTAGGTTTGGCCTAAACACCCTGACCTGGTCTAAGGAGGTCTGGCGGGTTTACATTGGGAAAAAATAGAGAAGCGGCGGGCAAACGGATAAGAACACATGGCTTTCATGCGGGATACCACTTGTATAAACGTCCAATCACGGCGTCCTGGTCCTACTTCGGCACTTAAAGGTGTCTAGCTGGGCAAAGCTGGGCCTGAATTCGTTAAATATTTTTTTTTTTAAATAGCTCAACCGCTGCAGTGCTTGCAGGAACCCCCACGATGATATGCTGAGCCAACAGACGCCTTAGTTGTTACATCGTGCTTTATAAATTATTAACACTAGTTATCCTCTTTAATTATTTTACTTTCGACAACTCAGGATTAGCAGTAAGAAAGGGAGGAAGTAGTTACTGCCCTTGATTGACTAACATTCAACTCTGCGAGGACATCACGCCGAGCAATAAACAGACGTTGACACAAAGTGACACCGTTTACATGATGGTCATCCGGGAACGGTCCCAGGACTCCCGTTCAACCCGTAGGGAGGTATTAAGGTCCTCGACCACAGCCGAAGTGGGGCTTCAAACAATAACAAAATAACATCCCGTATTGGGGCGGTGCTTGTATGGATGACCGTAGCTATTGCACTTGAAATCGTGAAGCCCCCCCCCCCTCTCCCCCCCGACTTTTGCCGGGGCCCCTAAATATAGCCGGGCCTTAAATGTGGCCCAACGGCTGAACGGGGTTTCGGGACCTCACCGCGGGTGATCCTCATCCGCTTGGTGGCACTTTGTGTCACCGGGTGTTTATTGCTTGTGTGATGTCCTGGTGGAGTTCAACTTACCTACCTAACCTTGAAACCGCGAATAATTAAGCAAATGTATACATTTACCCACTCTTTCTACACACTTTTGAATTAATTAATGATACATTGATAAAAAGGTGCAAATGTTTATGAGAAAAACTAGTTATGCTTTTCGAACAACTCGGTTTCCGAACAACTCGGTTTCCGAACAACTTACAAGTGCGAATTATTTTCCAGAACAGAGGTTTCGACTGTGTGCTCGTGTATAAGTGCGTCTATGTGTGTGTGGGGGGGGGGTGAGAGAGGAGTAAAGAGAGGTGTAGAGAGTAATGAAGAGAGGTAATGTTTAACAGTTACCTGCCTGAGACACCCTAATTTACGTTTTCTGTTATGACGACAGAAAGTGGAAGACGGATTGTCGCATTTTGAAAGAAATCAATTGCAGCGAGCTATAGAGAGGAGACGCAGGAGAGAAAAGCAACCTCCTAGGGAGGATCCACTTCTGTGTGTATATTCTATGTGGCAGAGACTTTACTTTCACAGCAGATGCTGTTCTCAAAGTCAGCGGCATTATCTTCAACGTCCCCGGGACTGACGGATGCCATTGGTGTTGTGTTACAGTCTAGCACCGATGTGAGTAGATCAATGTGTGTTAGTAGACATCAAACTACAGGTGCCTGCTAGTACACTCACACACAACACAAACACACACCCACACAAACAAACATACAACAAACACACGCATGCGCACACCCACGGCCACCTGGAGCTATTTATAGGCCAACTAGGTCAACGGAAATTCCAGTTTTGAGAAAGACCGAAAGACTGCACACCACACACACAGACACATACATGCATACACAAACGTACATATACCAAACATACACGCATATACTATAACACACATACTAAAATATCGACATAAATACACACATAATATACATACATACATTTACACACACCATACACAGGCGTACTAACACACGCAGACACACTTCAGACTCACCATTAGACCAGTCCTTCTCCTCAGAACTGCCCCTGCCACTTCCCGTGGTAAACTTGACCTCTCTGTCTTCCTTCGGCATCTTTGACACCTAATGTTTGCTGGATTCTGGGCTGAAACAATCTGCAACACAGAGATCGGGCCGTGTGAATTTAATACCAGTACATACACAGGTCGGGGAGATGTGATGGCGCGGTTGCTAGATCATTGCCTGCATTTCTAAAAGTCTTCAGTTCCAATCCGCACGAAGTTGATATTTAAAAAAAAAGTGAGCTGGACATCCTGATGATCTAAGCCTAGAAGAGATACCAGGATAGGGCACTTGGACTAAAACGGCGGAAACGATGTTGACAACATCATTCGTGGTTTTTAACAAAAGGTACATAAAGGACCCTTTTCCACGCCTTCGTGCGTATTAGGCACATAGGGCTGGATCTTTATTTTATAGACCAGCCAGCACTCGGTGGATGATGTGGTCAACTTCTCACCAGCTGCCTTTACTCCCCAGGACTTTACCTGGTACCTGTTTAAAACTGGGTCCAGCTGAGAGCATCACCCACTGAGTGCATGTTAAATACATGCTATGACAACAGTCTCAGGTTATATTTGTGGTCTGCTTTATCTGCGCCACTTGCGTGGTTGAGACTGTGGTATGTGGGTCAACTCTCCGACTTTATGCTTTTCTCGTAGCCGCTAGACAGTTCCTTCTTGTCTGAGCCTCAGTCTTAGGAGAAGATATAAAAACCGAACGAAAAGTCTACCAGCGAGCTTCACAATATAACAAACACAAACAAAACGTGAAAGCTGTGGCTGTGGAGCCTTCTTCAGCACATACATAGATAAGTCAATACTATATATATATATATATATATATATATATATATATATATATATATATATATATATATATATATATAATATCACTTATCTTCGTATCTGGCAGCCAGGTCGATGTCAAGACAATAGTCTGGCGAGGCACGTGGGGCCGTCAAAATAAATATCCGAGGATATGCTAGGGGCAGTCACTCGAGGATAAGATTAAACTGTGTAGGCAGTTCAGTCCCCTAGTATTTAGAGGAAGCTGTGTTGGCAGTTTAGTCCACTGGGTGCCAGAGTTCATAAAGTCCTCATAAAATTTATGAGTATCAGTCTGTTTCTCTTGTCCTTATCTTCTTGATGTCTTTCCTAATTAGGAACTTTTGGGAGCAAGCAACGGAGTCAGAAACGAAATACAATTGTTATGGCCTGGAGAGAATGAGGCACCTGGGTGTAACTCGAGGCTCTGGTCGGTTCCTTCTCCTTACTGTCCTTGTCACAGCCCTCTGAGAACAAGCAACGGAGTCAAAAGAGAAACAAGATTATTATGGCCTGGAGAGAATGAAGCACCTGGGTGTAACCAGAGGCTATGGCCGGCTGACTTCACTCAGGGAAAAGACCAAGTGGACATATAACCAGATTACGACCGGTACCGTTAGTATTGGAACCTTGCGCTGGCTGCTGAAGATTAGGACGGAGCACGTATGGGAATGCCCCGAGTGCTGTGATGTCAGTTCTTGACCCAGCTCAACAGAACTCAACTGCCCTTGTGTCCTGCAATGCGTGATCAATTTATAACGTTTCCGCGAAATATGTCCCGTCTTCATCAGACGCCAGCTTTTTTTCTTAGCGTTCCCGGGCTGTAAACTCTAGCGGAATATTTTTGTTGTTCATCCACTTCAGGACTTTCATCTTGTTCCAGAACCTAACTTTTGCAAGCACATCCATTTTACAGACCTGATTTATTTGTGTGCAGACTGTATGTTCCCCGCCTCTCGGAGGCCGAATCATGTTTTCGGTAAGATCGTTGCCTGCTAGGGCTGGGCAGATTTTGCTTCTAACGACACTTTCCAGGGTCAAATTGACAAGGCGTTCACGATCCGCCTTTGTCGTGCCCGTTCAGAACGTTGTGGTGTTTTCATGAGCTCTTATGATTTACGCGACAGCTACAATTATAGATGTCATCACTGGGCTTATGAACGTAAGGCTGTACTTTCTGACCTCACATATAGGGCAGCTCCACAAACACAACATGCGCCCACACAAACGCATTCCCCAACACCAAAAAACAACATGTTATTTTCGGTTCTAGTGCCCGGCCTCAGCCCATATGATGTTTTCGTGCTTCTGTTAAAATTGTGTGGCCTAATTCTGTGGGTTTATCTGGGGTTTATGTGTTGTTTAGACAAATATATAGACATAGACATATGCAGACATGACATATATAGAACTGCACACATACACACATATGGAAAGAGCTGTAGGGATAGCTCCTGTCTATGCGGTACACAAGATAAATAACTAATTTTGAGCTTCGGGGCAGAACTAAACAAGTTCCAGTGGACTAAGAGGTGAAGAAAGGACGCTGGCGGTGGATAGGACACACAATAAGAAAACCTAAGGAAAAAAGAACTAGAGTGTTGTTGCACTGGTACCCACAGGGGTATAGACGCAAAGGGAGACCAAACACCACACGGAGAAGGAAACTAGATAGGGACGTTAAAAAGACGGGGAGAACATGAGGAGAGCTGCATGCGATAGCGAAGGATAGAACGCCTTGACGTGAGTTGGTTGAGGGCCTATGTTCTATTGAGAGTTGAAAAGGCAAAAGAAGAAGAAGATATAAGATGGTCTTCGTCTTTAAAGCCTGCTTTTCATGTCGTCGTTTCATTGTTTGCGTGACTTTCTTCCCCAAGCTCTATGTTTATTATATTTCTTCAGGTTGACTCTCTGCGGTACCTGGTACCACGATATTTTCGTCACATGACCGAACCACCTCATCTTTTGCTCTTTAATGAATCCTGTAACAGCTTTCAGCCCTAGTCTTCTTCTTCTTCTTCT